GTCCGAGCTGATGGAAAGGGCTAGGCAATCCACATATACACTTCAACACCCCTCTCACGTGTGACGCGGGAAGTCAACGCGTGGATAGACTCGGAGGTATGGCTCAAAAGGCCTATAAGTGGACACAAAGGGGTGCAGCAGCAATTTTTAGATAAATTGCGAAAGCCAGGACTTGAACTCAAGACCTTAGCTCTGATACCATGTTAAGCTTCATGCACTAGCCAACGCAACCAAAAGTCCAAACTGATGGGAAGGGATAGGCAATCCACATATACACTTCAACACATATATCTTACCAAAGGATGCCCTTCCTGTCCTGAGGTCCTTGTGCTAATATTTGCAAGCAGTAACACCATATTTTCTCTCTGATTTTCCACATTCGATTTCTACAAAAGGAACCATGTAGTACAACATTAAATATGTTTTTCAAGCATAATACCATGAGCACAAGTAAGACTGGACGGGATGACATTCCATCACCTCAGATACGATATCAGAACATAATTGGGAAAGCAATCATTTACCTGAAATCCAAATGCTAGCGAAAGCCAGTCAAGTAAATCCCAGATAGGTTTTCCTTCCCTTTGCATTGAAGACATCTGTAGCTTTGGAAGACCGTCTATGTTACGTATTACATCTATAGCACTTTTTATCTACACCATTTACAGCACAAATAGGATCATAACTTGCTGCAGATTTTCATAAACAAGTAGAAAGAGTGGGAGGAGCAAACATAAGTACTAGGAATTATAACTAACCTCCGGGAGTTCCACAACTGCTTCTGCAGAACCAGGAAAATTGAGGGGGACTATGTTGTACTTGTAACTCTTGAAATGAGCACTCTTTTCCTCTACTACTTTAGCACGTTTCATCACCTACAAAACAAAGTTTGGGAGATAGTGTTGAAGAAGCTCACCAATGGAACAGGTGAACAAAAACTTATATAAAGCAATTTTATATAAAATGGAGTACCTCAGAATCAACCTTGTTGTTTGTTACATCTCTTAACACTTCATAAAGAGCAGACGCCACTTGGTAATATCTAGCCAATTCCTCACTGAGTTTTCAACACAAAAAAGAAGGTGATTAAAGCAGTTCACCACAAACGAAATTGATTATGAGTGTATTATGTCTTACAAGTTCTGTTTTTCAGAGGTTCTGCTCAAATTTTCACAGTAGTACTTATAAAATCGTTGGATCTCCTTTGAATCATTTAAAGGAAATTGCATGTCATCCTGTCAAACATAGAATAGTGTCAGGTATTCACCACTGAAGAGAAGACGACAAAGAAGGTAGGTCTCAAAAGGAGAAAAAAAGAGGAGGTAAATTAGTCACAGTAAAGCAAGTTTGCAAGCATAGTCACAACACGGTCATGTCTGCTTCAGACATCAGACGTCCAGCATCAGTTATTCACTTTTCTTATATCGAACTGAATGAAAGAATGCAAGGACATACTATATCTCATATGAGTCAGACTCCTGAAATGAGTTCACAGTCTACTCCCCTTTGTGAGAGCTCACAGTCTACTCCCATTTGTGAGGCTAAGCAACAGCTAATACAAATCTATATCATAAATATGCATTAGAGAAGAAGACTTGCATGGTGTTAGGTCAAGAAGAAAACTAAAATAAGAGTTAATAGACAATGGATTCCCATTTTGGCCAAAACATGAATAAGCTACAAAATAAATGCAGTAAGTTTTTTTGTTGTTGATAAAATTCTGACAAGCGTGATGCTAAGATTTCAGCCACAGTGAGGAAAGGGTAGTAGCAACATCATAAGTTCAGATACATGGTTACCTGATCTAGCTTAAGTGACATGTATGTTTTGAACTGCCGAACCCCACGTTGGATGGATGATGGATCCATTCTTTGAACTTTCTTGTAGGCATATCTGCGACCTTGGTACAACATGCATGGTAAATCCAGTTTCATATCAGAATAGCATGCACTGCTTGACGTACAATATACGAGAAAGGAACCGAGAAGGTAAGACGCTAGATGGACACTAGAACTGCCAACCTAGCAACAAATTGGTTCGTGATACAAACTCAGCATGCAATGAACCAATGTCAGTTTGAGATTTAGGTGGTTTGGGGGTCGAGGACCTTGAAGTTAAGAATAAGTGTTTGCTCAGCAAATGGTTGTTCAAACTACTTACAGAGGAAGGTGTTTGGCAGGAGCTGCTCCGAAACAAGTGTTAACATAATCTTGTCATGATTAATTATGTGGATGTTGTATAAGGGCATGCAAAATTAACTAGCTATGCATCAGGCTTGCATGTCGGCAAACAGCAGCAGCTAGCACTATAGGCATGCATCCAGACTCTTTAGGTGGCACTATAGTAGCTGTCAGCGGTAAAATAGCAAAGTCTGGTTTGACTGAGCTGTAGATAGACAGCGGTATGTACTAGACTGCAGTAAGAGCTTGCACTGAGCTGTCCTAGCTCAGCTATTAAGTATTGATAGTATAGGTCGGTTCGTATAGTCCTACAAAAGGACATGTACCCCTGTTTGTAACAGTAAGCTTGTTGCTACTGATATAGAGCTACAAAGCTTCATACTAGTTCCTTTTGTGCATGTGTGTTTGAGAGAGAGAAACACTAAGAGAGTCCTCGATGAGAACCTATTAGTTCTAACAATTGGTATCAGAGCCATGTGTATTAGCTTGAGTGGGATATTAAGAAAGAAGTATTGATTGATTCCCATCGATACCCTATGATCCCAAAGAGCAGCTACCTGGCATGGTCCATCAAGGGATACCAGAGGGCATGCTCTTCTGGTGTCCGAAAAGGAGACACCCAAGGCGACTTGGGAGACCTTGAAGATCATGCACATGGATGTTGAGCGCGTGAAGGACGCCAAGGTACAAACTCTCAAGATGGAATTTGAGGGCCTGTGCATGAAGAAGTCAGAATCGATTGACGATTTTGCTGCCCGGTTGACAACCATTGTCAACAGGTCAGGGCACTTGGCGAGAAGTTCGAGGAGAATTATGCCGTCAAGAAGTTCCTTCGCGCCATCCCCAACAAGTTTCTCCAAATTGCTTAGACTATCGAACAATTTGGTGACCTCAAAACAATGACAGTGGAAGTGGTTATTGGAGGATTGAAGGCACATGAGGAGAGTCTAGGAGGAATCGGTGATGCTGGCGAGGAGCACTTGCTGCTGGCCCGCGCTGAGCGGGAGTCCAGGTTCAAGAGGAATGGAGGCGGCAACGGCTCCGTCAAGAAAAACTGCAAGTTCAATAAGGCAAAGGTTTGTTGCTATAATTGTGATGACCAGGGCATTTCTCCGAGGAATGTCGCAAGCCAAAGAAAGAAGGCAATGCAGAGGCACATTTTGCTCAAGCATGTGCCGAAGATGAACCAACCTTATCCTGATTGGCAAGGAGATATTGCCTGGTAAGTTGCATCCCCGGCAACGAGGAAGGTAGCGCTCCGGGTAAGTTGTGTCATCGGTGGCAAAAGTTTTGTGTTCTCATGTAAGTTGCGTCCACAAGATATTGTGTGTGTGGTTATGTGAGTTCTTCTGCTAGATGTGTCCACAAAATCGTGTGTGATCAAGATCTTGTGTCAGTCGTGTCCACAAGATATTTCTTGTGTTACTAGTGTCCACAAGCTGAATTCTCGTGTTAGTTGCGTCCACAAGAAGATATACTTTAGGTGCGTCTACAAGACAACATGTTTCTTGTGTTGGTTGTGTCCACAAAAAACTCCGCATATGTGATCATACAATATGAGAAGCCTGACCGATATGCAAGAGCTAAGACGATTCAGCATACCAGTGAGTTTGGTATGACAAGATTTGGTATCCCCGATATGCAAGAACTAACATTGCTAAGATGATTAGTTATGTGGATGTTGTATAATGACATGCAAAATTAGCTAGCTATGCATCAGCCTTGCATGTCGCGAAAGAGCAGCAGCTAGCACTATAGGCATGCATCCAGACTGTTCTGGTAGCACTATAGTAGTTTTTTTAGCACTATAGTAGCTGTCAGCAGTAAGAAGCAAAGTCTGATCTGACTGAGTTGTACGTAGACAGCAGTATGTCATAGACTGTAGTAAAAGCTTGCACTGAGCTGTCCTAGGTTAGCTATTAAGTATTGGTAGTATAGGCCGGTTCGCATAGTCCTATAAAAGGACATGTACCCCTGTTTGTAATAGTAAGCTTGTTGCTGCTGATATAAACCTACAGAGCTTCATACTTGTTCCTTGTGTGCATGGGTGTGTGAGAAAAACAGTGAGAGAGTCCTGGGTGAGAACCTAGTAGTCCTAAGTGTCCACGAAACCAACTAACTACCCATTCTAGAAGGGATTGATGAGGGTGAAGTCTGAGTTCTTTTGCGGAGGGTCGTTTGTGATAGGCAATGGCCTCAATACTCATTTCTGGGATGATACATGGCTTGGAGATGCGCCACTTGGCCTCCAATATCTGAACCTGTATAACATCATGCGATGAAAAGAACGTTTCAGTTGCGTCAGCGATGGGGGCGACTCCATTGAATATTGAATTTCAATGGGCGCTTGGTGGGTCAAGTGGACAGAGTGGCTACATCTGATCCATATGTTGATGACGGTCAACCTATCGCCGGATGTTGCCGACGTGTTTCGGTGTAAGTTGAATACTCCCGGTGTTTTTTCTAGCAGGTCAATGTATTCTGATCTTATTAATACTGGACCAGTGTTTCGTCACAAATATATTTGGCAAATCAAAGTGTCATTAATGATAAAGATTTTCATGTGATACCTGCACAGAGGTGTGGTATTAACAAAGACAATCTGGTTAAACAGAATTGGCAGAGATGTAGAACATGTTGCTTATGTGACCAGGAGGAAACAAGCCATCATTTATTCCTGTCATGCCCGCGTACCATCCATGTAGCTTTCAACCTGCCACCTCCAACTAGCATAGCGAATATGTTCGGCAACTGGTTGGGTGGTGTTCATCATAAGCTTAAGGCAGAGGTTGGCAAACCTAAAGGATGGAGACGCAGACACCAATTTCTTCCATCGTCGCATAAATGCCCGGAGGAGGAAAAACCACATTCACAGGATTAAGCATGTGCATGGTTGGGTCACCGAGCACGGAGAAAAGGAGAAAATCATCCATGGCCATTTCTCGGAGGTCACGGGTCGAAGGGATAGGTTGCACCAAGGATTTCAATTGGGAGGAGCTTAACATTGAGCCACTAGACTTGCATGACTTTGGCGATACTATCACTGAGCAGGAGGTATGGGAGGCCATCAAAGACTTTCCCAGTGACAAGGCTCCCGGTCCAGATGGCTTCACAGGTCTCTTTTTTTAGAAGTGTTGGGGATTCATCAAGCACGACATTATGCAAGCCATCCAAAGCTTCGACTCGCTGCACACTTCCAACCTTCAATGGCTCAACTCCGCCAATGTGGTGCTCTTGCCCAAGGAGGGCGCAGAGGGCATCTCCGACTATAGGCCCATTAGCCTTATCCACGCGGTGGCCAGAATCATTGCTAAAGCCCTCTCCTTATGCCTTGTTCCCCACATGAACGCCCTCGTCTGCAACGCTCAAAGTGCATCCATTAAGAGGTGTAGTACACATGACAAATTCATGTGCATTTGAAATTTTGCTCGTCGGCTACACAAGAGCAAAAACCCTGCCCTACTTTTCAAGCTTGACATCAAGAAGGCCTTTGACACGGTCAAGTGGGAGTACATTCTTGACCTCCTCCAACGGAAGTGGTTCCCAAGCAAGGTCCGAGATTGGATTGCGGTGCTTCTATCCACATCTTCCTCGTGCATCCTCCCGAATGGGATCCCCGGTCCCCTCATCAAGCATGCTCGTGGGCTCCGGCAGGGTGACGCGCTTTCCCCTGCTATTTGTCCTTGAGATTGATCCTCTTCATCAAATCCTTGAGTTCGCGACTTGGAAAGGCATTCTCCATAAGATACGTGGTCGGGGTGCCATGGTGAGAACCTCACTTTACGATGACGCGGTTGTTTTTATGGCCCCAATCAAGAGGGATATAGACAACCTTTCAGCAATCCTAAGGGGTTTTGGTGAGGTGACGGGCCTTTGCACAAACTTTCATAAGAGCTCAGTGGTACCCATTCGCTGCAATCATCTTCACTTGGGGCACATTCTCCAGAGCATGCCGGCGGCTAGAGCCTCCTTCTCTCTGAAATACTTGGGGCACTCTCTCTCAGTTTGACAACTCAACAAGGTGGACCTTCAATATCTTGAGGACAAAGCGGCCGGCAAATTGGTCACTTGGGAGGGCCAAAATATCACTACCATTGGTCGGACGACCCTCGTCAAATCATTCATTACCTTCCAAGCGGTGTTCTCAATCACGCCTCTTATCGTCCCACGGAGCTCTCTCCAGAACCTCAACAAAATCAAGAGGGCCTTCCTTTAATCCGGCTCAGATAAGCCGACCGGTGCCAAGCACAAGGTCAATTGGGAGGTCGTTTGCTGCCCTCGGGGGTATGGAGGAGTTGGGGTCCTCAACACTGACAAATTTGCCCGTGCTCTTCACCTTCTTTGGCCGTGGTATGAATTGAAAGAGCCAAACAAGTTGTGCATTGGGCTTGGAAACCCATGCAATGAGGGCCTTGATTTTTCTATGCCTCCGGCACAATCATTGTCGGCAATGGCGCAAAAACGCCGTTTTAGGATTCCCCATGGCTCCTTGGGCGCAAGCCTAAGGACATCGCACCACTATTTTTTGACGCCTCAAGAAGAATTGGAAGGTGCGTGAAGCCCTTAAAGATAATGCTTGGATCCTCAAGATCAACCACAACACCATCGTCTCCTGTGCCCACGTCCGGGAGTCCTTCACTCTTTGGATGCTTGTTCATGACTTCCATCTTGACGACCTTGTGGAAGACGACATTCTTTGGAAGCACTCAAATGGTGGGATATATTCGGCGACCACCGCTTACAGAGCGCAATTCCTTGGGATGACCCTCTCCCCAAAGGAACGCATGGTGTGGAAGGTTTGGGAACCCCCGAAAGTTGAATTCCTCACATGGCTTGCACTTCAAGATTGGATTGGAACAGACGACCAGTTAGAAAGGCGGGGTTGGGCAAATTGTGCCCTTTGTCCATTTCGCAAGAGGGAGCAAGAAAGCGGATCACATCTCTTCTTCAAGTGTCGCCATACACTTAGGCCTCCGCATTTGGTCTTCGAGAAATTTAGCCTTGCTCATGTCGACACTTCGACTTGGCACATGGAGGACTCCGTCATGGATTGATGGGACAAGAGAACCAATTTGCAAATCCCAAATAGGCGAGCAATGGCGTCCCACACCATGCTTGTCTCTTGGACCCTCTGGAATGAGAGAATTCTCTCGTCTTCCGACGCAAGAGCCCCCCCCCCCCATCTTATTGCTTTTGATTAGCGACGAGGCAAAGATTTGGATTACCACGGGCGTTAAGCATCTAGGGCATATTGTATTGAGCGGGTAATTGTCATGTCGTAATCATGGTGTACTTGTAAAACTCAAACTCTATTCTCCCCTTATTTGATAGATGAGGCAAATCGTATGCCTCTGTTTCGAAAAAATAAGCTTAAGGCACAAATATGTGTGGGCATCTGTGCTTTACTTTGGGTGATACGGAATTATTGCAATGAATTTTTCTAACATATCCAAACAACAACAAAAATTGCAAATCATTTTCAGAGCTACAGGATGGATACGTACTTGGGCGTACCTAGGTTATACTACTAGGGTGCACAGGGCACCGGGTCAAGATCATTTTCCTTTATACATATGGTGTGTGAGTGTGACACCCCCAACTATAGGTGAACAACGTATGCGATTTGTAGAGTGACACGAAGTTGTTGATCCTCCCTGATTCGTGCAGAGGCCCAGGCATCCACGAACTTTGGGTGCAACCGGCGGGAGGATTTGTGCAGCCCGTTTGGATGGCGATATGTGATTGAGTCATCTAATCTTGTTATGGCCCGGTTGTTCATTGGGGTTTTTTTTTTAATTTGTATGGATCTTTGGTACGTTCTTTTTAGTTAGGATGATGGTGTGCATCACCAGATGCAGAGGCCTGGGAAAACCCCTCCATTTCAAAAAAAAATTGACAATGAATGGATTGATGATTAATGTTACAAAGCAGTGATGAGTGTTGCACCGTGTACCTAATTACTACTCCCTCCGTTCGGAATTACTTGTCTCGGATATGGATGTATCTAGAACTAAAATACATCTAGATACATCCATTTCTGCGACAAGTAATTCCGAACGGAGGGAGTACTCAATACTGTGCGTAGCATCGTATCATCGTATGAGAAGTAATTTTCCACTGAAAAGTGCAAGATATGCTGTGAGTTGAAGTGGTGGTGGACTCGTGGGTCAATCTGCATTGTGCTTGTGCACTTGAATAGCGTGCATGTATGTATCTACGCAGCCTAATCAAATTTGGTGCTCGTCCGTAGGGTGGGCTAGCATCATTTTTTGTTGCAAAAATGGGGTGGGGTGGGGTGGTCGTGACTTACAGAGGAACGCGACCCGCGAGTTGAGCAGCTCGACCTCGTCGGCTGCGCGGATGAATGGCATCACCTCTGGGGCCAAGGCTTCGGGCACCCGCTCCCCGGGCTCCGCCACGCCCTCCGGAAGCCTCCGCGACGCCAGCGTCTGTGCCAGCGCGTTCCGCCTCCGCCTCACCACCGTCGACCTCGAGGCCGTCGCCGTCGCCATCGCCACAAACGTGATGGTGGGGGGCACGGTGGGCTGATGGGCTCGGACACGATTTATACGCCATTGGAAGAAGAGGAGGTGGAAGGGTGCTTGCGAGGATGGACAAATGGGTATTCCGATTCGAGCTGCCGCCGGGGAAGCAAGGAATTTTGTTCGCGGCGGCAGGAGGAAGCGCGCGCCTTCCCTGCCACCTGTATGTCTCTCTAGTCTCTACCTCTCTTGATAGGTTGATAGGTTTGGCCTTTCTTTTCCTTGCTTTCTCTGTTCTCTCTGTTAGAGCATTCAATAGATGGTTCAAAATTTGACGGTCTAAAACCAGAGATATAAAATTTAAACTAAAAAGTGCATTTTGAAGCTCCGAAAAAAGATTAACTCCAACAGATAGTCCAAATTGATGATAAAAGCAACTCCAATAGATGGTCCAAAATGAAGATGTAAAAAGACATACTACTAGTCCATTCAACATAGTTCAAACATCAAATTCAACATAGTTTCATACATCAATTTCAACTACTACTTATTCAAACTACTAGATAAACTACTCCTCATTGGAGCTACGGAACTGCTTCCAGAACTCCTCCTTCGTCGGTTCGTCGCACCCCTCCTCCTCCTCCTCCTCCTCCGAGAAGTCTGCCCAATCCTCCTCGTAAGAGGACTCGATGGGGATCACCGTCGAGGGACCGGCCTCATCCTCCTTCTTCGGCCCCTTCTTCTTCTGCTCTGCCTCACGCTTCCAGTAGTACTCCATCTCGGCCTAGACGTACTCCGGATGCTCCCGAGCAAACCTCGCCATCGCCTCCTCATCGGTCTCGCCAGCATTGACGACAACCGACGGCTTCTTCATCTTCTTCTTCGTCGTCGTGATCTCCTTCATGTTGATGCCCTGCGGCACAAGCATCTCCGCTTCCGCCCGACTCTCGATCTCTGGAAAGTTGAGGTGCAACCGAGGCCTCTCGGCACGCCTCACCGCCACGTCGTAGGCACGTGCGGCCTCGTGGGCGGAGGGGTACGTGCCGATCCACCAACGCCTTCCGACGTCGGAGAACTCCACACCCCAGTTGCCGGAAGGCTTCTGCCTCACGCCGAAGAAGCCCGACTTGCCCTTCGGCGTCTTCTTCGGCGCCATCGGGAGCGGCGTGCGGCCGGGACGGTGGCGGACGGAGCCGGGCGGGGCGGTGCTGCGGGGCGGCGGTGGCGGGCGGGGCGGTGGCGGAC